CTTGGCCATTCCAGGGATTCTCTGGCAATCCCAGCCCAGCCAGCAATTCCTAATTCCCAAGATCCCATCCATCCCTGTGTCCTGTCCCTCTATCCCTTGCCCCCAGTCCCTCTCCAGCTCTCCTGGAGCCCCTTTCAGGGCTCTGAGCTCTCCCAGAACTTTTTCTTCCCCAGGTGAACAATCCCAGCTCTCTCAGTCTGACACAAATGAAATATTTGGAAGGAGCCAAATCAATATTGAGGCATCAATAACTCTGAAGCACAGGATCAAGTCCCAGGCTGTTAAAATAAGAATTCAGTTGGGTTTGATGTGATCACACAGTGTGGGATTGGCAGGATTTTGTTGCCATGTTAACATCACTCCCTGGGATGCCGATGACTCAAAGCTACACCAGAGTTCTTGCAAGTGCCAGCACAACCTTTTTGCCTCTCCACACCCTGTTTCCACCAGCATTGCAAGGAAAATACTTTCAGAGAAGTTTTGAGCTGCCTAAACTTTGCTTTCTCCCTCCAGCTGGGCAGCCAGGTGCTTTGGTTTTTACAGCTGAGGTCCAGCTGTGCCGAGGCTATAAAAACCTCCTGAAAAATGCCACCTCTGTATTATTGAGACATGAAGCAAAACAACATTCCAGGGATTTATCTCAGGCTGCAGGATCACAGAATTCTTTAGGACTGGAAAAGATCTTTAAGGTCATGGAGTCCAATCATTCCCAGCATTGTCAAGGCCACCACTGAGCCATGTCCCCAAGTGTCACATCCACAGGGCTTGGAAATCCCTGCAGGGATGGGGACTCCAGCCCTGGAGTTGTTCCAATGCCTGAATTCCACGAAGGAATTTTCCCAATATCAAAGCTGAGCTTCCCTTGGCACAGCATTTTCCCACCTAGAAAACTTCTGTTGCTTGGTGAGCATCTCTCACCTGTACTTTGGAAATTATTGATTTTGTAGAACTGAGTCCAAGCCATCCCTTGGTTTAGGAGAGATGAAAATCTGTCCTGAAGCTGCCTGGCTTTAAGAATTAAAACAAGCAACTGAGTGAAGTGACCTGAGAGTTTGGAATATTCCAGGAAATCCTCAGAGAGGAGTTTTCAAGGCAAAGAGTAAAAGGGAAAGTCGAGCCATAGTTAATTTATTGTGGGACTTTGAAGCAGTGTCACCTGTGAGGCAGGGGGGGAGATGGGTGTGAGGAACACAAACAGGGCACTGCAAAGATGTCAAGAATCAGTATTTTGATTTTAATTTGTAATAAAGAGGTTGCAAAGACTCCAGGAGCACCTTGTGCTGAATGTGGGATTGTTATCTCATTTTCTTTAGAGTTTCTTCCCCAAGGCCATTTCTTTTGCATAATCAAGACACACTTATTGAAAACAAACACCTCCAAAAAAAAGTGATTTCTGAAACTTTATCATTTTCTGGTTAGGTTTGAGGGGTTTTTTGAAACGACTTAAATCCAAAATCCTCAGCTTTATTGACTAGATATTAGCATACTTGTAAACAATACTAACTGAAATCTGTATTTATTCTGTTTTTTTTCTTCCAGAGTGCCCAGTTCTACAAAGTCACCACTGAGCAATACCAAAAAGCTGCTGATGAAGTCTCATCTCGGTTCAAGTGAGTCCCTTCTGTTTTTTCCTGGCAGCTGGAGGAGTTTCTTACCACATTAAAATGCACAATAATTCCCCTTTCTTCCCTCACAAATCCTATCAGTCCCTCTGGTTATAAAGGAGGGAATTTGGGACAATTTGGAGCCAATGTGTAGGAACCACAAGGTGCAGAGAAATGGGATTCACTCTTAGTATACATTTATTATATCAATTATATCAATTTATAATTGATCTAAATGATATCAATTTATAGTTGATAAGAAGCATGAAATATTCTAAAAATAAATTCCCTTTCTCTGATGGAGCACCAAAAATGGGATTGCAGCTTTGCATCACAGTCACACCATGGGAAGGATTTAAATGAGGAATTTCACTCTGCCCTCCACAGTGAAGGTCAAATTAAATAATTTTTATTAGTCCTGAAGAAGGGGGAAGTGAAGATGTGGTAATTGATGGATCAAAGTGACAGTGACCCTTAGCCTTGGACCTTCCCTTTGGGCTGCTCCATCCCTCAGGCTCCACGTTCAATTTGTCATTTTAGTGAGGACACAGAACTTTTTACAACCTCCATTCTCTCCTCTAACCAAGAAATGCTGCAGAAAATGAATTATTCTGCCACGGGTTTTGTAGCTTTGTGGAGGGATTTTCTTCTGGTTTGTGTTGTTTTGTTTTGATTTTGGATGAGCAGGAAGAGAAAAGTCCTTTCTGAGCTGCTGATAATGATAGAAATAAAATTTTAAAGTAGAAGAAAAACTCATTTTATCTCTTAACATCGTGAATTGTTGAATATTCTCTGGTGTATATATATGAATTTTGTAGTGTTTAATGGTGCAGAGTATACTGAGCTCTAAATTCATCTGTCCCTTAAACAAGAGGGACAGGATGACCATTGATCAAGGTCTGATTGAAGCATAATTTGGAAGGTTTTCCATCATGTCTGGAAATCCAGGAAGGTTGGGATCAAATTCCCACCTGCCTCTCTCCTTCCTTTGTTACAGTGGGATAATTTCAGCTTTCTAAATCCAATGATTTCCTCATTTCACATGCATTATTCCCAAGGAAGGTTTTATTGGGATTTCAAGTTTTGCTGAAGGGGCTCTGGGTGGGTTTAGTGGGCAGAGGTGGGAGATGGGTTTGGGATTGGGTTTTTCCTCCTGATACATAAAGGATTTCCTAAGTAAATCAAATACTTGGGGTTCCTTTTTGTGCACAAATGGAGCTGATTGATAGAGCAGTCCTGAACATCAGAGAAATTTAAGAAAACCATTTTATAAAGTGCAGAAATCAAGGAATATTTGCTGAGGAGCATTTGGATGGGGAATCACATTCCTAACATTTGATGGGATTGGATTTTTCTTAATTTTCTAAAAAATAAAAGTATACATTGAAATCATCCATTTGACTGGTCTGTAATAGCAGTGCTGCAATTACTGTGCTGCTTTTGCACTTGAAACCAGATTTCCTAAAAATTATTTGGAATTTTTACATCAGTGGATCCAGTATTGGTCCACTGCCTTCCAAGAAAACAAAAGGAGAAAAAAAAAAAAAAAAAAAAAATCAGGAAATAAAATTGCCTGAAATATGCACATAAATTGTGGCAGATTTGATGAAAGGCCTGAAATACCAATATCACTTTACAATTTAAAGGTTTGGTTTTTTTTTTTCACCTTACATAAAACCCTTTTAAACACCGTGTCTTTTTTATTGAAGGTTTCAATGCAGGGGATGTTATTTTATCAGTGCCTCTTTTATGAAACTTGATGGATAAATGAGGAATGATTTAGTGAGACCTAAAGATGCTCTTTTGGTGGCACGGGCACTTCTCATGTGCAGTTTAATTGCACGTGAGGATTGAGAGGACAGAGGCTCCAGTGGTGTTTAAAGAGTTGTTTAATTGGCTGTAAAAGAAGAATTAAATAAGGTTGAGCTGCTAAATTTTGTTAATGCATAAAGCCATGTGCTGCCTGTGATTGCAGGTTCCAAGTGCAAGATTAATGGATCTAATTGTGGTGTTATTAGCAAATAGTCTGACTTTATTTTAGGCATGTCTAGAATTAGGTACCCAGTTTTAATGATGTAACTTGAATTTTTTCCACTTTTTAAGCTGCATCCTTTCCAAGAACCAAGAAGTGGATGGTGTTATTATATGTTAAATATTTCCTGGATTTTCCTTCCTCCATTTAATCCCTGAAATTACATCAGCTGTGGCTTCATCAGTCTTTAGGGATAATTAAACCCCATTAAAAAGGGGAAAAATACAAATATCCCACATGGGTTTGGATCAGAGACCTGGCAGGTCTTGTGTCTGCAGTTCCTATTGCTGCCTGCATTAAAGTGATATTCCAAATATCCATGAGGAATGTTTTATCTCCACGAAGGCCCTGATTCACATTGATCAAATTGGGAATTATCAAATGCTTCATCTCTTTACGAGCCTAATTCCCATTGATCAAATCCTAAATGAGCAGGTTCAGGCAGTTCCTGCAGTCCCCAAATCACATTAAAACAACATTACAGGGCCATGCTGCCCCTCCTAAAGCTGGAATTATCTTCCCACAGTTACATTATAACCCCAATTATTCCATTATGAAGATGGCTCCGTTAGAATGAGGAGTTTACACAAGAAAAGAAGAATGCAACCTCACAGGAAGAGCTGGGCTTTGGGCAAGGATTTGAACTTTTCTTAATCAAATTCTCCCTTTGTTTTGTGGGTTTTTCCTTTAATTTGGAGGGTTGGGAGTGGGAAATTCAGCAGCTGCAGCAGTGACATTTTATTCCCCCGTGGTGTCTCGAGCCAAGTGACATCTTCATTATTCATTTAAGAAGCAGAGAGGGCAAAGGCAGCCTGAAAAAAATGTTTTTATATTTGGTGGGTTTTGATTTCTGGTGGTTATATTTAGAATTCATAGCTGTGCATTAGTGCATTTTCCTCAATATTCTGCCATTCCTCTCGTGGACAACGTGGAATTGCTTCTTGCTGCTGGGATTTTTTTGGGGAAAAACTGAATCCTCAGCCATCCAGGCTGATGGAATCCCCAAATCCTCCTGGGGGATTGACTGAGCAGTTTGTGGTGAGGTTTCCCCCAATAATGGAATTAATTCCCCAAAGTTTGCTGGGACACTGACAGTTGTAATCCAGAGCATCCTTTGCATCATCTGGGTGTTTATTCTGAATCACAGATTTAGGGGGGGATTTATCCCTTTATTATGAATCTTTTAGACATGAATCTCTCCATCAATTCCCATAGAATGAATGGGAATAAATGACAAATCATCAGTATCTTACCTTCCTTTAATTAGGATTTCTCTATCACAAGACCTGGGTCGTTAAAATTTACTGAAAATAAAATTATAATCAGAAAATCACGAAGTGACTTGGGCTGGAAAGGACCTTAAGGATCATCCAGTTCCACCCCCTGCCATGGACACCTCCCCCATGAAGTTCTGTTTGATGCTGAGCTGTGAATATTTGAAATATTCACAATATTTCCTGCGTGTTCTGACTGATGTTGCTGTGAACTGTGAAGCTGAGAAGAACTGTAATGAAACCACAGTAAATTAATAACAGCAACACTTCAATATTCAGACATAATTGTCTCACAAAGCAGTGGTGCCAATTCTCTGGACACTGAGGGGGAAAAAAAAAAAGCAGGGTAGAAAGAAAATCAGCTTTTTATTGATGACTTTGGACCGAGTCCAGGGAAGTGTGGCTTTATTTCCCTGTCCTCGTTACCCTTCTGATGTTGGGGCACATATGGTGACTTTGGAAGGGCTCTGTAAATTAAGAATATTGATAGTTCCTTAATGCAAATATCTTCAGTCACCATCGTGCTGCACTGACATACCTCTGTAACACAGAAATCTGTGTTGCAGGCAAAGAATTTCTGCTTTATTTCTCCTTGTGCAAACCCCCACATTTCCAGTTTGTGGAAATAACATCATTGATTCCCAAAGTGCTTTGGGTTGAAAGGACCTTCAGGCTCATCCCATTCACCCCCTCCATGGGCAGGGACATCTTCCCTACACCGAGTTACTCCAGCCCCTCCAACCTGGCCCTGAATTAAAAGGAGCTGCTTTTAAAACCTAAAGTTAAGATTACAAATTACCAGTTACTTGTGAATACCACATACTGTTTTTTCAATAATAGAAAATAGGAAGCTACAAAAAATCCTGCAGGCTTTGTGCCTTTAATAAGATTTTTTTGCTTAGGCAAGGGCAGTGAGCTCTGCACAGAAACCTCCTGAATTAATGTTTTCTTTTACAAATACAGCAAATATAGGTGGTGTTTTGTCAGGAGAGAACCATTGCAGGGTTGTCTGCCCTGCTGACATTGTTGCTGGTGATGTCCTGGATTTTTTTGTCGTGTTCTGTGTGGGGATGATGATCCCAAGTTACTCCTGACGTGCCTTAGAGAGGTGTGAGCTGTTTGTAAGTGATGCTGGGAATTAAAGAATCAAACACCATAGCTCAGCTCAGCCACTCAGCTTTTCTTAGCACCAGAGGTACCCAAAGCTTTTATTTCTCTTTCTGCTCTTGCACCTCTTCACACACAGCTGTGCTGCCACCAGGAGAGTTTTGTGAAGTGCTCCAAGCAGAGGTGTGTGATCCCAAACACATTTCAGTGCACAGGCCAAGTGTAGGTGCAGTTTTCCAGCCTGGCAGTGATGCTGTCACCCCTCTTAGCTTGAAACCAGCCCAGACTCTGAGTGCACAGATGCTTCAGGTGGGGAGAGACTTTAATAAATCCTTCCAGCCTCTTGTTTATCCTGCACATGCCAAAGCCTGTTCCTTTTGAATAAACTCTTCTCTTTGCTCAGTTCAGTCAGTCAGGGCTTGGCCTGGGGCTCACCTGCAGGAGCAGAGCTCACTCAGGAAATCTGCTGGACTTTTCTGCTGCTTTGTACAAGGGGTTGTGCTTTGACCCAGGGGCTTGAAAAATCCTCCAAGTTCCAATTTAAAGAGGGGACTTTGGTGGGCAGCAGTTCCCCTGTCTCAGGTGCTCTGCAC